TATTATTAATCTAATATGCAAGGGTCCCATCCACTGTAGAATGATTGTTGGCTGTAATTCCTAATTTACTATGTATATACAAGAAATATGGCAAGCTTTTGGTAAAATGTGCAAGTTTGTTGCAGACAAAAAAATCAAAAGTGTTACAAAAGTATCAGAATTCAAGATTTGTTTATAAATTGATGACGTCATTATGACTCAGACTCTGATAAGTCAGAATGCAAGGTGATGTTCACGTGAAGAATCGTAATACTAATGCTGTTACAAAAATTACATGACTCAATCTGAAGTCGTACTTAGCAACGCATATTTAAGTTGTTAAGGAATAAGATGAGTTATATTTTCAATCTTCTTTTCCCATTAGATTATTTGTTGTTAAGCATAAAGCTACACAATGGGCCATCTGTGCTGTGCCCATCACGGGTATCGAAACCCGGTTTTAGCGTTATAAGCCAACGGGCTTTCCGCTGAGCCACTAGGAGGTTCACGTTAGACTAAAACAAAAATTACCTTCGCAAACGCCAACTCAATTTCTAAAAATGAAACTAAAGAAGAAGATTGAAGCTCAACAATTATCAAGACTCAAGAAGATTGCATTGAAATTGAAGAGAACTGAATTTTCAAATGTTTACAACGATAAATATGAACTAATAAAAATAACTAAAATATTACTAAACATAAAAGAACTGAGATGGATAACGATGAACCTTCTTAAGAACCGTCCCCCAGTGGCACAGCGGTATGTCTGCGGACTTACAACGCTAGAATCCGGGTTTCGATACCCGTGGTGGGCAGAGCACAGATAGCCGATTGTGTAGCTTTGTGCTTAATTACAAACAAACAATCTTAAGAACCGCAATCTGAAACCTGGATTCGAAACCGCGATTTTGCATGCTGAGAAACTTTAACTAGCTAAGAAATCAAGTAGAATAAATAGCTCAATGTATTGACTTGTATTTATGATATTTAGTAGGACCCTTCACCCAGTAGCACAGCGGAATGTCTGCGGAAACCAGATTTCGATACCCGTGGTGAGAATAGCACAGATCGCCCTTTGTGTAGCTTTGTGCTTAACTACAAACAAAGGCTTAGGTGAGTGATATTAAGAATATTAAAACTAAGGAAGACTGATTGAAGAGGACTGATACTAAAATAATGAAACTTAAGAAATCTCTGAATAAATATACTGATACTGAGAATGATGAAACTTAGTAAGACTGTGACTAAGGAAGACTGATGTAATGAGTATTGAATCTAAAAAGACTGACAATAAAGAAAAGGTGTTCTAAAATTACTTACACTAAAGAAGACGGACGTCAAACAGGACTGAAAATATTAAAAAAAAAACTCACCGCTAAATAAAACTGAGTATAACAATGATTAACACAAACTAACGGGATACATACAGGTAAGGAAGTTAAAAACATTCATCTTCAAAGCATTTCAGCAAAACTGAGTTATTTAAACCAAGGTATTCTAAGACTTAAAAGTGTTCTCAATGAAAAGGCTAGGAATGACAAGCATTAAGACAAGTTCAGATTACCTACGATCCAAGTGAATTTGAGTTAAAAAGAATCAGGTTATTACATAAAAATTCAGCTACTGAATTTTTAGTTTTACAGTTTCAGCCAAAACTGAAAAGATTGATACTAAAAACCATGTATATACATAATATGAGTAACAAACGAAACATCCAAAAGCGTTTCATATGACAAGTACTTTTAAATTGGTATTATTGTCAAGATATATATCATCTACTTGTTTGTGGGTTGGACCATATTATGTCAGCATTATGACCACTCAAATCAGTATAGTTTTTTACTTGTTCTCTAAGTTACGCTGTTTAATAATAATTCTCTGCACTTCGTGATTACATCAAGCATAACAACACGTTTTGAGAGATCACGAGAACAGTATATATATATATATATATATATGTAGTTTCTCATCGCTTTCACACTGTACGTTTGTCTGCGAGTCTTACTTTGTTTTTACTTTCTGTTACACGGTAAACCCTGGAAATTGTGCACAGGCTCTCTAGTTTGCAAGTCCGGAAATTAAGCTTTAGATCTGTTTCGACAAAAACACAAACAAACTAGATTTGGCACTTTTCCTAAATTTAACGTAATTGTTTATAACACTAAAACTTATAGTCATATAACGCTATTTTTGGTTTCTTTTCTGGGTGTACGAATGACAGCAGAAATAGCTCAAAACTGCATTCCTGAACTGGCAGTGGAACGGGTTTGTTGTTTACTGTCAGTTGGATCCATTTTACGTTATGAACTGGCAGTAGAAGGGTTTATTGTTTACTGTCAGTTGAATCCATTTTACGTTATGAACTGGCAGTAGAACGGGTTTATTGTTTACTGTCAGTTGAATCCATTTTATGTTATGAACTGGCAGTAGAACGGGTTTGTTATTTACTGTCAGTTGAATCCATTTTATGTTATGAACTGGCAGTAGAACGGGTTTGTTATTTACTGTCAGTTGAATCCATTTTACGTTATGAACTGGCAGTAGAACGGGTTTATTGTTTACTGTCAGTTGAATCCATTTCATGTTATGAACTGGCAGTAGGATGGGTTTATTGTTTACTGTCAGTTGAATCAATTTTATGTTATGAACTGGCAGTAGGATGGGTATATTGTTTACTGTCAGTTGAATCCATTTTACGTTATGAACTGGCAGTAGAACGGGTTTATTGTTTACTGTCAGTTGAATCCATTTTACGTTATGAACTGGCAGTAGGATGGGTATATTATTCACTGTCAGTTGAATCCATTTTATTATACAGGATTATCTTTATGTTTCAATGTCTTCGGGAGTTACTTTTGTGAAAGTGATAATGTTTTGGTAATTAGAAGCTCAACTTCTTTAACAACATGTTTGTACGTAATGATTAACTTCTGTGACGTCACTCTAATGACTGTAGTTAATGTAATAAAATGTGTACAAACCAGATGAGAACTACAAGCACCACGCTGTTATAATTATATTCCCCACTATAGATACGTTTGTGCATAAGAAAGCCACAGATAAACAAACACGAGAAAAATAAATTAATGGGTTCAACGTTACCAATGATTTCAGAAGTAATGCAGTTCTGTACAAACATAAAGAAAGAAAAAGATATTCGCCACAGCGACGCTAAGTGACCCAACAAGTTCGAGTGTTGCTAACATATCATAAACATAAATAATATTCAACGTTAAACTGGTACACAATTAAAAACATTTTATTTAGGCCTATCTGTGGCCTTCAAAAAGTTGACGACTCTACATGTTTCGACGTTACAACGTCATCCTCACAAGTGCCAAAATACTATAAATATCATAAACACTTACAGAAAAATGTCCTATAAGCTAATATAAAGAAAAGAGTTAATGACATCTGAAAAAAATTATCTCTTAACTAACATGAACAGAGCTAGAAAGTCAGCTATTGTTTGTTTGCTGAATTTTCCATAAAGCTACTCGAAGGCTATGTGCTCTAGCCGTCCCTAATTTTGAAGTGGAAGACTAGATGGAAGACAGCTAGTCAATACCACTCACCGCCAACTCTTGTGATACTCTTTACCAACGAATAGTGAGATTAACTATCACATTATAACGCCCCCACGGCATAAATGGAGAGCATGTTCGGTTACGGGATTCGAACCCGTGACCCGCAGATTTTAAGTCGAGTGTCCTAATCACCAGGTCATGCCAAGCCCAAGAGTTGTTTATATCTTACTTTAGTATATATATTTACAACTAAGATATCTGCCATTACTTTAATTTTATGCCTAACATACGAATATTATATAAGCTTCTCATATAATTATATAAACGCTTAATGAAGATGTCAGTTTCAGTTTCGACATTTGTCCAAGAGAACTCGGGGTAGACATGTTTATAGATGCACATAGATATGGATGTTAAATCAGTTTAAAAACAGAAACAAGAGACAATATACCGATGCTATCAACAAATGTATATTACTTGTAAACAAAAGATATCATGATCAGTAGCTTGCGTGTTATCGGAGAGAAAGAAACTAGACAGCATAATGATAAAATAAGATATTAAGATAATTTTCTGAAATGGAATTTTTAAAAATAGTCGATCAGATTACAGAAACGTGTACTTCAAACAAATGGCTAACCTAATATTTCGTGTTTCTCAAATACAGACGGCTTGATTAATGAAACAGAAATGCTTTAGTTTCTCTGAAGAGCTCAGAAAAAAAAAGAGAAGAGGAGGAGCGTGGGATCTTGTGCACTTGTGCAAAAATCATAATCCAACAATTTTGAAAGCAAGTAAAAGAATAACAGCTTTGAAGTTTCGACGGTTCTATTGGTGAGAATCAATATTTTCGATCTGATATTTTGATGATATATGATTATGTCAGAAATCATGTAATGTTTGTAATATTTTGAATTTGTAACTATTCCCTGATTATATTTTAGTTTCGTAGTATCGAATAAATAAAACGAAATTTTGTATTTAAGTTTAACTTGCAACTCCCAATCTTGGCTATTGTGACATGGACTTTTATCCTTACAGATAATCACATTTATATTATTAATTTTATTAAAGATGAAAATCTAGTAAATGTCTGGATTTTTTTTTCTCCCTCCCCCTCCCCCTTTTTTTCCCTAGTGTTCTGAGCCAACCACAATCCGACGTTGTACATTGTTAGGGTTAGGCTTAACATTTGGTATTTAAAAGAAGAGAAGATATCCACGATATTTGTGATGTTGACTAGTTAACAACAAGAAGCTTATTTGTAGCTAATATATTTCCCTATTTTACGTGTAGCACAGTCTTGCTTGAAGCCAAGGAGAAGGATGCTCACAAAGATGGGAGTTAAACGCATCCTACAGTGGTAAGCATTGATTGAACAGCAGCCTGCCTGGGCTTAACCCCCGTCAGCAGCATCTTGCGTCACAGTACTAGAGATACTGATGCTCAAAGCGATTAAAGTCGGTTCGGAGCCAATTAACAAGGATCACTTACCCTTTGTTTCTATGTACAGACTGGCTGAACCATTCTCAAACGCTGCACAAGCTTTATCATTTTTTCTTCATCTTGGAGCACAGGAGATGCAGCATCTTCCACGACGCTCGAGTTCTACCATTACCGATTCTTACTAAGTCGTTTGTACAGTATTTACCGGCGAATTCATTGTCAGCGAATTGCGTGCCATCTATGAATGATACTATACACTATTGTTGTTTAATACTTTTCCGAAATTATTAGTCCGGCATGGCCAGGTGGTAACGGCGCTCGACTCGCAATCTGAAGGTCGCGGGTTCAAATCCCCGTCCCACGAAACACGCTCGCCCTTTCAGCCGTGGGAGCGTTATAAGTGACGGTTAATCCCACTATTCGTTGATAAAAGAGTAGCCCAAGAGTTGGCGGTGGGTGGTGATGACTAGCTGCCTTCCCTCTGGCCTCATACTGCTAAATTAGGGACGGCTAGAGTAGATAGTCCTCATGTAGCTTTGCGTGAAATTCAAAAACAAAACAAACTTTTTTATAAATTGAATATCGGTGTTTTGTTAATTGTCTGGCCAAGATACATTTCGCCATCTAGTGGTAAGTTATAGATATAGATAAATCGTACATAGTTGTGTCTTTGTGTTTCTTGACAACCGTTCAAATGAAATTAATGCTATTTATTAAAGCAAAATTTGTATTTATTTAATAAATACGATAAATTGAAATTTGACAAGTCAAGTTGTTACAAAAATTATAAAAGTATCTCCTTATTTAACCCTTTTTGTCCACAGATAGCCCATTGTGTAGCTTTGTGCTTAACTTTAAACTTCAAAGACGTCAGAATTAATACATTAAATTTTAATAACTTACGTATTACTTTTATTCGTAAAATGATTTGTGTATGTGTGTGTGTGGTTTTTTTCTTGTAACACAATGTCTATAACTAAATTGTAGTAATTCTCATCACTACCCAGCCTTCTTACAGTAAAATTGGGATGATCTGGTAGTTAGGGTACTGCGAGTCACGGGTTCGAATCCAGTCATCGAATATGCTTGTCCTTTCAGCTGGGGGGGGGGGCGTTATAACGTAACGGTCAACCCTAATAATCGATTAGAGTAATCCAAGAGTTGTCAGTGGGTGGTAGTGACGACTTGCTTCCCTCTAGTGTATCACTTCTGAATTAGAGACAGCTAGCGCGGTTAGCCCTTCAGTACGTTTGCCAGAAATTCAACAAAAAAACAAATTATCACACGAATTAAAATACATTGCTAACTACCGAAAGAGTTACAAGATATTTATTAGTTATCATGTTATTTGTTATACCTTTGATGTGTTTTTTTTTGTACTTGTTGTTTAGATTGTTTGCCCTATATTAAAAAGGATTTCAGTTTAAAATGCAAAATATGCGAATTTCCTGTATATTTACTCAAGGGCAAACATTTTGGTTTACAGACAGGTACTTGAGACATGTTACTATGGAGAAATGTTATAGTTAGAAAGAGCGGTGTTAACATACACTGGATCTGACAAAAAAAATTAACATTCTATTCAGCAAGCATGTAGATCTCCAACTGGAAAAATATCTGTTTCTGTAACATATAATGTTATGGTACAATATCTCTGAAGTGCTTTAGATATTCCTCAAACTTTTTTTGTCTTAAAAAACCAAGGATTTGTTTTCAAAATTTATTGTCATCGTTGTTAAACTAATTAATCAAACTTATTCTTTGATACTTATGGTAAATTATTTATTCTTCACAGCCTATGTTTATTTTTCAAGTTTAAAACTTAATTTGATAATGTTATAAAAACTTATATTCTACAAAAATGTAATTCACTTCTGTGAAAGAATGTTGACGATGAATTCTCAAAAGTAAGTAAAAAACTCACTTTTGTTCAGTCCCAGAAGATTGTGTTCACTCTTTCTGGAAGGTATTTTCGTTTCGGATATTTTTATAAAGCTATATAAAGGCTATCAGCGCTAGTCTTGAATTGATAAAATAGAGAGAAGACAGCTAGTCCTCAATATACACCGCCAAATCTAATCGAATAATTCACCCACAGTCTCCAAAGTGCAATAGGCAAACCTTTTTTTTTTATAACGAGACGCAAATCACGGACGCTCAGACCAGGAGCTCGGACATATGAAAGTGGAGGAGACTAGAATAGTAGCAACCAAAGAAGTTGTAAAAGGAATATAAAGAACGAAGAGGAAGGTTGACTTTTGTCTTTGTTATTGTTTTTTGTGACAAATTTTTCCCATACAATTTTATCCTAGCGTGTTATCCAGCGATATTATATTTCCCTTCTCATTTAGCTTAGAAATATAAATTGCATAGTTGATCAAACGTTTCAAAATTTTACATATATATATATATATATATATACAGGGTGGGCCAAAATTAGGGTTAC